CAGCAGATCCTGAGCATGGGCTCCAAAAAGAAAACAACTACATGGAATTCCCTCTCCTGTTGTTTATTAGCAAAGAAGTAACAAACATCAAATGTGTGGCTCTGAGACAAAGGGGTCCCTCAGAGCTTTCATCTTTGACAAGCAACAGTCACCTTGATGGGAAGGAAAAAATTCCAACTTTGCAGACTGATTTTACCATCCTGGAAAAGCACTTGCATCAGACACAAATAACTTCAATACTTACTGAGAAATTAATAACCATTCTATTCTAAAGTCCACTAACAACTGGAATTAAAACCAGTGTTGCATTCACAGCAGCAAATGTGGGAAAGACTCTGTATTCTGGATTGGCAACAGGAAATAAGCAGACTGCCTCTCCTTCTTACACATTGTCTATGGTAGAGCTACAACCATATTAAATGCTTTTAACCTATTTTTGCACAGAATGGTAGGAGAATTTGTGGGGAATCCCAGAAGACTAGTCCCCTTTCTCCAATATCTTTGCTTAAACACAACCTGCCCAAATCCTTGAATTCCTTTATTTATAGCAGGACTGGTCTCACCACTTCTTCCCCTTCTCCTAGGCTCAGCAGGCTAGTTCCCTGTGCTAGGCTTTATCTTACAATTATTCCATTTATATCCTTAGTGTATTTAAAACTCGTGTTTATAAATACAGAGCTTTTTAGCTCACTGTGGATATTCAACTAAAAGGAAAAGGCAGATTTTTTTTTTTCCTCTGCTGCATTTCATCCTTCATTCCACAAGATCCCAGAGCACTTCAGAAATGTAAATACAGAGCTGCTCTGCCAGCAGGGAGAGACAGACAGCCCTGGGGTGGAACATGGCTGCTCTAGGACACCACTGCATCCTTGCAACTCCTCATCGTGCTGGGCTCTCATTTTTGCTCTGCCACCCTGTGGCTGTTAAACTGCAGAGCTCCAACAGGCAGGTAAAATGCCTACCGCCCAGAAAGAGATGTCTCCTCTACACCAAGAACTCTGCCAGTGTGGACAGCTCATTTTTCCATACTCGGGTTCCTTCCACGAATTAACACAACTGGTAGGATTTGAGGAAAAGAGCTATTTTTAACTGAGAGCCAGAAACACACCTGGTACACTTGAGGGCTTGGTCAACGGACCAGAGTTAATGGTTCTGCTACCCCAGTCATTAAGTGTACTGGTGTACTGTAGTTTTTTAGAATAAACTGTTGTTTGAGAGATGGTTTGCAAGCTTGACTCAAAATCTTCATTGTCGATGCCAGTGCAAACCCCATTTTTAGGTGGGGAGATTTAGTTTAGATTCCAAGTAAAGGATGCCACCTACTGAATCCTTGCTACCACAGTTGTATGCTTTGACCCTCACATCTCAAGACCTCTGGCAGGATCACAAGCCAGACTGCAGTCCCAAAATGAATTCCAAGGAAAAGCAGAAAACAGGCTCAGAAAAACAAAGCTTTCCTTGCTGCTCCTCTCCCACCACCCAAAGATGTATTACTCACCAAACATCTGCACAGCCAGAACAACTTCTAGTTGTGCAACACTGACAACCTTAGCAGCATGAAAAAAAAACAAAACTGCTTTACATCTTTATTCCATTTTGGATTCATTATAATATGGTCTGACAATACATGCTAGTACAGTACATTCTGCAACATTTAACCCCTGTTCCCAGTTGCCATTCTTAACTTCACGGCTTAATGACACAGAGTCAGTAGATCACAATATGACCCTGTTAATATTTTTTTAATGCCATTTTTACAAATTACAGCATAATGCACTGATTACGAGGATGAAAGGAAAGTCTCTACGTCTGTCTGGAAACCAAATAAAAGAATGTTTGAACATCTGTTCATCCTACAAATGTCTTTAAAAGCTTTGATTTTCCCATAATCATTTTGTTCCACCATTTCACCCTTTTTTGAATGTATATCCAACAGCCTCAGGACAGCAGCCAGAGATCTGCAGTAATAGCACATTTTAATCAAACTTCTCAGGCCCACTCAAGTTCTCCCTCTGGAATAAAAAATGGGGGAAAAACCACAAAACCAACCCCCCACCTTCAACAGTTGTGCGTCCTGCAGAAACCTCTGTTAGGGGAGCAAAGCGAACACACGGCTTTGCAACAGAGGCTTTACATGGAGGATTACAAAGCACAAGGATAGGATGTGGTGGGGGGTCAAGGCACTTAAGCAAGGCACAGCCCATTCCTACTGGGTCAGCAGCAGCTGTCCATGAGACCTCTGCCCAAGTCCCAACCTAAGTGCCTGAACACAGGCAGTTGCCCCACAGAGAAGCTGGTGTAAGCTCTACGGCAAGAGCCTTGCCCACCATACAAAGCTCCCAAACCTGCTGTGGGAGTCCTGTCAGCACCCAGATTTACATCTCCTTCTTGAGAGGCAAGAGCAGAGGCAGAACAAGAAGCAACAAGCAAAGGTGGAAAACAGGAGTGCTGAGGAGGAGGTTAGGTCTTGCACTGAGAGGATGGAAGAAATGCTCAGCATGCTAGTCTGGAAATGAGACAGAAGATGGTGAAAAAGATTTTTGAAAGTATTTCACAGGACACAAGAAGGGAATGGAGGTCCAGGCTCTCTTGGATCATCTAAGCAAATAAACCACAGTAACCCCAGCACTAGAAGACCCTTCACCCAAGCAGAGGGCTGCAAAAGTAAGTATTCAGGCCTAATAAGTTTTCAAATGGATCAAGTTCCGTAACAACTGACTCACTGATCCTGACATCGGGCAGTCCACAGTGTAGAGGGGAAACCACTGATCAGACAGTGCTTTGTAAAAGACATCCCACCATTTCCACTGACAGCCTCCTTTCCAGAACTATTAAAAAATGCCTTAGAAATGAGAAAGGCAAAAGCCTGTAAGTGCAAGGCTAACAGCTTTGGAGCAGCCAACAATATCTTACAGCAGGACACCTCTCATAACAACTGCTCTTTTCTTTCCAAAACTCTGAGCAGAATTGGCAGATTTTAGTGACCCATTTAAAATTTGGCAAGGACGTTAAAACTATACAGATAAAAATATAAATACCTGAATAATTAACTTCTGTTTTTTCTATTTAATGAGAAGGTTTGTTATACCAATAATTTTTAGACTAACCTGGGATGGTAATCATGGTATTCCTTCTATGTTATCTGTTTCTCTAGCTTCCATCACTGCAGTATCTTAAGCAGAGGTAACAGCGCAGGTTACAAACCAGGATTAGATAAAGGCTTAAAAGAAAGATAACATAATAAACATTCTTTCCAAAGACTGCCTTTGGGGTGTCTGGAAAGAGAAGAGAAATGGGGATGGAGAGGCAACAGGGGGTGTGAAATGCATTTTTTTCATTATAGAAGGATACATTTTCCAGCAAGGATAGCAGCACAAGTCACATTAAGCCATAGCTGAAGTTGCCTAATTCCTCTGGGATCACACTGAAAGCACATACCCCATAATCTTAAGGGATGTGCTAAAGCTTTACTGGGACTCACTCAGCAGAAACCGTTTGGGATTATTCCACAAAGCACTAATTCTGTTCTGATTTAAAGGGGCACCATCAACCTAGTTCGGACACCAGACTTGTCCTGCCTCGTGACTGTGCAGCTGTAAATATCCTCTCAATAGCTGATATTTTTGCCATTTGTATCCACTTTGGCTACCTGGAAATTAAAAGGGAAAAAAAAGGAAATTAAAAAAGAAAACATCTGGAAAAACCAGGATCAAGTTAGCATGATGGGCTCATGCCCACCAATGGATAGTTGTTTAATAACACTGAGTGTTATTAATGATATTATATTACTACTAAAAATGAGTGTTGCAGTCTATTACAGTTCTTTACTTCCATGTGCAAGTAATGCATTTCCAGCAGACATGTAGTCATCTTCTGCAGCTGGCTTCAGTGAATGGGTCACAGGCTGCTATTTAAGCATCCACAAGCTCTTTTTGTTGGAAAGGCTGGAACTCATGCTGCCAAGCCTGAATCCCATTTCTGTTCCAGACTACAGCTCTTGTACCTGTGGAATTATTGTTAGTTTTCATGTTAAGATGTCCTATGCCTTCCAAGTAACAAAGAGGGGATATTAATAGTGCTCTTCTTTTTATGAGTCTAGGACATAAAATTGAGGGGAAGAACTAAAGCAGCCATGAAATCCCTATTAAACAACTAATGGTTTCTAAAGCATCTTGGAGATACTCATTTTGCAAGGCTTATACTGCAATCTTCTATCATTATTTTAATGAAATAAAGCCCTTGACTATTTCCAGAGGCAACTTTCTTTCACTCACCAAAGACATTTTGGTTACAAAAAAACCCAAACCCATTCTGGAGTAGGATTCACTGTAGAACAGCCAGGAAATTCAGAAGAGCTATATAAAATGTCATTGAAGATAGGTTCTGAATCTTTGGAAAAGCAAACAGAACAATTAAGACTCTCAGTTACATGTACCATTATGTTTTAATATGAAAAACATTTCTAGATATAAATCATAATTATAAAAAAGATCCATACCATCTCTCTGATAGCATCTTACATAGTTGCAGCTGAAGGAATGTGAAACATCCATTTTAGGTTTCACCTCTTATGCTGTGTGCTTTTTATCCCCCAGCTTGTTCAGGAAAGTAAACCTAGGCTCACCAGCTTCATTTTGTGGGTCACAGGAAATTCCCATCTTGACTAGATTTAGATTAGTGGTAAACTTTTAAACCAAGAGAAACTTCAGAACAACTCTCCAGAAAAACACTGCTATTAGAGCACACCCCCAAAGCCAGCAGGTGACATTCTCTGACAGACTGCAAAGATTCACAGAGCAAAGATGACAAAACCAGCAGATTTTAACAGAACAAAATCAGATCACAGAAACTCTGCAAGGGGGCACGTAGGCAGCAGAAGCTTCCAGGCTCTGTTTGTGAGGAAGGAATAGGTTTAATGTGCTCAGACAAGAAACATATTCCACCTGAACTAATTTCAGAGTCTGGTTTTTCAGGTACAATCAGAGGCCTCTCTTGCTTTCTCAGGATTGAATCATTTTCTTCTGCGTGTCGAAGACGTATCTTTTAAAGAGAAGAGAGATGGTAACAGGTTGGGCTGAATCATTCTTGCTGCTTTCATCCTCTTTGGTCGTATCCCCCTTCCCTGCCTTAGATTTCTTCTTGGAGGCACCAGCAAGAAGCATCTTGGTATCTGGCTTCAGCCCATCTGTAAAACACAAGAACATGCATGATGAACGTGCTCAACATCACAGTTCAGTGTAACTGGAAAAAAAACTAATAGGCAAGTTTACTTCTGAAATCAACCAAAGGAAATTAAGTAAATCAGATGCATAAGGAAAGTCACATTTCTGCATCACACTTCTGGAACATGGTAACCCACATGAAAAGCAAGAGAAGGCTTCAAACATAGTTTGCAAAAGTGACACCCCAAATCCAGCACCATGTCCTGGCTTTACCTTCTTCAGCTTTTCTAGTATTAAATAAAGGCAAGAATTTAAACAAGCCAGACCAAACTGCCTGGCCTAAGCTATTTACTCAGCAGACCTTTCCTATCATTGACACACATCTCCCGAAGTTTCTTCTCATCACTAGGAATCTTTATAAAAATATGTCATGAATAAAACCCAGCAATTGGTAAAATATTATAATTTTATAGAACTCCAAGAGTCAGAAGGTTCTCGAATGTCTAGTTTATTTCCCAGACCTGCCAGAAGCACATTCCTTAGGTTTTAACAAATTACATAGTTTGGTATTTGTTTGGGGTTTTTTGGTTGTTTGCATGGCTTTTCATAGAACGGGTAAGGCTGGAAGGGACCTTAAAGATCACCAGGTTCCAACCTCCCTGACATGAGCAGGGACACCTCACACTAGGCCAGGCTGCACAAAGCCTCATCCAACCTGGCCTTGAACACCTCCCCAGATAAGCTTTTCAGCACCGTACTACCTTCATGGTGTGGTATAGACATTCTTCTGATGTATAACCTAAATCTACCCTCTTTCAGTTTAAAAAATTACCCTTGTCCTATCACTACCACTTCTTGTGAAACATCTACATACACTTTAATGTCCAGGAAACCTGAGTTCTAGAAAAAGTTAAATTGCATCATTAGGCCCATTTGCAAAGATAAACTGGCCAAAATCCATTATATTTTCGTTGGTCAGATTTTGTGTTGTGTTTTTTTGTTTGCTTGGTTTTTTTTTGCTAAAGCACAGTATTTGTTAAGGGTTTTAACTGTCAGTTTCCAGAGGAACTAGAATTAACCCATGTAGGATTCTGGGGATCTAACTTAAGACTTTCTCCAGACATTTGTGCCAAACAAAAATATTTGTCCTTTTCTTCCTAAATGGCTGGGGCTTATTACACTTTTATATTTCCTTTTAACTCGACACATTGGTGACATTTTAGATAAGAAATATAGATAGCAAAGCCCAAAGAAAAGCTGTAAAACAAGAGAGATGCAGCTACTAAACGACCGCTCCTGAAGAATTGCTTTCTTAAAGCAGAAGACAGCAAACTCCTTGGAAGCTTATTCAGTGCCACCCGAATACGTTGCAATGTGGTTCTCAGGCATTTGGCCAAATTCAGTTCAGGTATTTTTAACCTGTGGTGTCACATAACCTTATCTCAAACACTTAATCAGCTTCTCTCCCCTCATATTGAAATTCAGATGCGGATTCTCATATCACAGCCTGACAAAAAGACTGAGATGTTTATGATTTACTGGAGACAGGAGGTCTACAAGCACAGGTGATTTGCTCCAGCACAGACACATCCAGGGGCACTTATAGCTGATTGCAGGGGGACACTGCACCAGAGCCTACCTTCTCAACTTGCTGTGTCAGGTGGCAAATTGTCCCAGCAGCATCCCCATCACACAGCCAAGGGAAGGGAGGAAACAAGGACATGTTAAAGCAGAACCAGGAAAGGGTCAATTTGCCTTTCCATAACCAGGGGTTATGAAAAAGCCCCAACACCCTGCAGTGAAGACTTTGAGAAAGAGGGGGTTTGATTTTTTCAAAAAAAATGCAAGAGCACAAGAGAGGAGAAAAGCAGCCTGTTCTGTCTATAACTACATCAACTACAATTTAAGGCTGCAGAAGTGCAGCATCAAGCAGAATCAGCTTTGCATGGTTCTGCAAGATCCTAGATTTCACAGACAAGGAAGCAGCAGTTCTCTCTTTTCAGATGGCAGAATTAAAAAAAAAGAAACAATGATTATTTCATTGTGGAAATAATTGAGACTGGTTTTCCTTGATGGTTGAGAAGTCTGATAGTGACTACCTTTGCACGTGTAAGGCTCAATTAAAAAAACTAGATAATATGGCGTGGCCCAACCACATTTATCATATGGTTTTACTACATTATATAGTCAAGTTAGATGCAGCTGATCCAATTTTTAAATTAGATGCTTTCATATCAATCTCGTTAATATCATTAGCCTTACAATCACTACCTTCATTACAAAAAAAATTATTATTAAATGAAAAGCAACTTCCTATTTGGAAAGTTACAAGGACATCTGAGGTGCTGCTAGGAAAAATATACCAACAGCCAAAAACAGAGGGAAACAAAATAGACAGCAAAAAGTCACCTCAGGCAGTCCTGCTCTCTGCCCTTGCAGGATTTATTTCATATTGTATGTTCCCTACTGTTTTGACCAAACTAACTGTAAGTGTCCCTGAACAGAGTTTCCTCCACTTTCCTGGGAAGATCATTTATTTTTTGGACAAAGAAACATTTCGTTTTGCTTTCTAGTTGGTTTCCCTTTCTAGGTCTTATCACTTACTAACGTTGCTGTTACTGGCACATTACTGTTTCAGAAAGATGTTTAACTAAATCCTCTCAGAAAGACACAGTTTAAATTAATTAAAGCAAACAAATCCTAAAACACTTCTATTTATGTTAGCAGGCTTTGCGAGACTTATTTCCAAAAAATGCTAATTGGCGGAAAGGAGAGAGGAAGGGAGGAGACAGGGCATTAAAATCAGAGCCAAAGTTTTCCCATGTGGGTGTGTGAAGCAAGCCACCAAGGCTGCTACCGAGCACCCTGTGCTGCCCCAGGCAGGGCAGCTTCCCACCCCAGGGGCTGCAGCAGCACGTGGGGGAATTCCCAGCTCTGAGGATGAAGCCACCGCTTCAGATTAACAGAGCTTCAAAAACTGCCCGTGACATCAGTGGGCTGCCCAACTCAACTGAAACCTGGGCCACTGTCTTAGGTGTTCAAACAAAGAATCTCACATCTGAAAACCTTCATTTTCAAGACCAAAGCACCCAGTGCACACAAAGCTGTACTGGGGGAGATGTATTTCCAAGCGAGCAGGCTCACCTCCTCCACCCTACCACTAACTTCCACATCTGGAGAAGATACACCTCACCTGCAGCCTTCACACCTATTTGAACAGAAATACAGCATCATGGGTGAGAAGTCTTAGAGAAGAAAGGGAAGAAGGTGGCAGCTCCTGGCAGTGCCACAACGGGCTGCCAGCCAAAGGCAGCTCAGGTATTCATCTCACTGGGTATCCAAATCACCTCATCAGATCCCATGGCCCTCATTCTGCAAACAGATTAGGTGGCTGGCATCGTACCCTAACAAATGGCATTTTCTGTTTTTCTGCCGTGGTGCCAGGAGGTCTAAGGGCTGGAGAGGCAGCGTGATACGGAGCAGCACAAAGGAGCAGGCAGGGAGTGACAGGCAGGGAGGCACAATCGGGGTTTCATCTACCTCGGCGGATTTCTCGCGTTACACACAATGCACATACTTTACATTTTACAAAACCAAGGAAATGAAGGGAAATATATCTGTCACCAAAGAAGACATCAAACCTTTAATAGCTGAAATGATGGATATTTTTAGATGGAGTCTAGTTTAACTTACTTACATTTACGGTCTAATCTCTCCTGAACAATAGCTATGTTAGCTTGAATACATAGTGAGAAATCTGTTCCATTAATTAAGTGCTGCCTGTACTACTTGGATTTGTAGCAAATGTTAATAGATTTTTTTTTTTCTTCCTCTGTTGGACAATTACTTTATTTTGCCAAGTTGCTAATTGAAAAAGTCCATGTGTTAAAAAAAGACTTCAGCTTCAAAGTTCTAAGAAATGCCTTCCATACAGCAGTGGGAAATACCTATATATTAATATTATTAATGGGCGGTCCTCAGAGGCACGTAAGGTACCTGAAAGCTTAGCAAATTCATTCCCACCCATCATAACCATGTCTGTAATAAGAAGCATCCAGACAGGTCTTCCATAAAAAGCTCTTGCAGCATCAACTAACCCAGGTTAGATATGAACATCTAGTTGTTAACACAGTTTAATCCACTTCCTTATTTATTTTAGTTTCAACTATTCTTAATATTTAACAAAGAAGAATACAGACTCTTACCACTATAACCTTTGTCTCAGAGTGGTTGAAAGGATTTAACCCAAACTGAGCAATTTATAAATGCAAAAAAAAAAAAAAAAAGGGGTGACTTTTCAAATTCAAACAGAAAGTGACACCTCATCGGGAAAAATATTTTCCAATTCTAAGAATAGCTTCACATGCACAAAATAAAGGATAAATGCAATTTTTACAAAATTTTCACAAATAAAAGCTGGCTTCTTAGTGATTTACTTTATCTTACATAGTTAAATGCACTGTAGCCTAGAGTTTTACAATTATTCATACAAGAAGTTTGCACAGAAACATGCCGACTTCAATAACTTTATATAGAAATTTCACACTGTAGAATTCTAGACCCCTTCTTGTCTATAAATATAGGAAATCAATCTTGCCCCCTCACCCGCATGAAGATACTCGGATCCACACACGTTTTAAGGTTTCCCTTATGCTTCACATTCTCCTTACACTGATCAGGCCCCCTTTGAGCAGGGACTCAGCAAAACCCTGTGGATCAATCCCCTGCTCCTGACCCTGCAGGTCCTGGAGTCAGGACAGTCTGTGCCAGGCTGCTGGGAGTGCCAGTGCACACATCACAGCAAACACAACAAACACATAAATGTCCATAACTAGCAAGGTTTACTTTTGCTGTTTTTACTGCTACTGCTTCAGCTGATACATCTTCAATTCCTTTTGTTAACACAGCAGCAGGGTGAAGCAGCACTGCTGTTCTTTCTCCCCAGATACATTTTTATTTCAGCTGTTGCCTGCAAGCTTGGATCTTACTTTACCTTTTATATAACTTCCTCACTTCACATCCT